GTTTTTCCAGCTGTATCCAGTCCCGCTCAGTGTATAAATCCATCAGCAGCAGCGGAGGAGGAGGTGATGACGCAGGAAGGAGCTATCACGCTGCTATCTGTCAAATCTGCTGCAGCCAAGTGGAATTTTTTACAATTCATGTAATGCATTTGGTAGATGTGACGATATAATCACGTTATTAACAGAATATATGGTGTTTTTGAGTGTTTTTATTGCTGAATCGAGCTATAGACTTAAATGCTTGCATCTGTGTCTCTGTTCCTGTTTTTGAGATCACTTTTTTACAGCTAAGACTCATCCAGGATCAAGTATGGAGGCCCACTTGCAAAAAACTGGGCCTTCTGTGCTATTAAGAAGTACGGCATGTATGACCGGGGCCCCTTGTGAGGTCTCACTTACAATACAATGATTGAAGGGTGCGACAGTTACATAACTACAAGGTGTCGTGTGATGCTGTGTGAATATGAGGCCTTGTCCCACTGCGGAGAGCCTTTATGGGGCACGTCTGACAGGTAGGTGTTCTGTCACAGCGTGTCAATACGCAGCCTGTCTCAGGGGCCCGATTTGCACTCTCTCTGGTCCTAACACATTTTTCCTTTTACCCTTTGTACGTTTGTTTTACGTAAGTATCCCTGCGGTTTGCAAAGTGTTTTTCTCACCCAATCTGATTTCAGGTTTGACATTTTTTCTTTGTCTCCTTCACCCATCTGGTTTCATTTTTTCCCCGTATCTGATTCTACAAGTTCTTTGTTTTATATCACACATACATAGTGTTCTGTATTTTGCTAGCAGGTATGTTTTGTGTGCTCTTGCAAAACTTAAACCTTACTTTGCACTCACTAAACCGGAGGTGGCACCTTTCTTACCGTGCCTTTTGACTTCAACCTTTCTGTGGTTAACTGTATTCTACTTTACCTCTGCTTCTCACGGTAACTGTTCCCAGGTATGTTATTCTCCTGCCTTTTGGACATGTGGTTTAGCGTGCCTGGCAGGGCGGTGGGCAGCTCTCCTGGCTCGGTGTGTTTATGCAGGTGCGGGACATTCAGGACACACCGCCCTGCAGAGTATTTTGGAGGGGCTTTTGAGAGCAGCCTACCCTGCAGTATTAGAAGGGGCCGCCTATATGTGGCATTTTAGTGGGACAGCCCAGAAAAGGCATTTCCTCAGGTTACTGGAAATGGAGCAGTAAAGGGTTTGAAACAAAGTCAAACACATCAGTGTGAGAAATGTTGTAGGGACAGGGGAAAGATGGACACTCAGAAAAACACCATGACATAACAAGAGGAATCAGTATGCGTCAGATCATCCTTCACATGTTTAATGCATTATTAAATGTATGGCTCAGAGAAAGTTTTTTGATCATACAATGGACTGTACCTTTAAGTACAGGTCTTTTTATGTTACTCTTTATTTTTGCAAAAATATTTTCATGTTCCAGCAATTAATAATTGATCCAGATGATAAACTGGGGTAGATAAATCTCTTTTAGTTCTGTAATTGAGAGGAATGGCCTAAATATCTCAGCTGAATAAAACAAGAATGTGCCACTTTGATTCACCTGCACTTTGACACCTTGGGGTAAAACAATTCCCTCAGGTAAACAGCCTCATGTTTAACATCATTAGAAAAGGCACGAATACAAAGGAGAAACTTCTTATGAGTCATTCCACTGCAGGACATTTCTGGGTATGCAGCTCCTGACAACAGCAAAGCAAGACATAATGCAGTACATGTCAGGGTTATCAGGCTTTGTTGAGACATACAGTCGCATATCATCTGCATAACAAGTGAATGTGTTGTGTCAGTGTCTGCAGATGATATGTCACGGGGTGGCATGTCAGTGTGCAAACTCTGTCTTTTTACAGCTTCAGGACAAGTTGTAATAAAGCTCTAGTGAAAGTTCAGTCAGGAACACAATACTTTTTCATGCTTTGTCATAAGAATGTCATGCTTTAGGCTGTAACTTTCATCCTCACCCTGCTATCTACTCCTTGCACTACTCCTTGCATGCATGCTCACGTTCCATCTCTGGCTGTCAATGTTTGGGACTGTCAGTCGACTCATCTGCTGTTCTACAGCTGATCCACAATCAACTAATAGCACAGCGATACAACTTCTCCGTCAGCCTATCATCTCACTGCTCCTTATTTTAATTATGGTTATTTTTCTGTCCGCAATCCTGTCATGCTGCTGCTGTGTGTACCCTTCACCTCCTCATCACCACCTAGTCTTCTCAGATGAAGCCTCTATTCGCCTCAGCAGTCGTCAACCAAAGTCATCAGCCACCGCTACCTCCAGCAGTGTCTAGACTCCATGTCCCATAATCACAAATAATCTCCCTCAGATGTCTAAGCGCCAAAAATCTTATCAGCACAAATCATCTGTTAAACTGTACACTTATATTTTACACTAAACTAAACTGTTTCATTCTTCCGTTGCTCCTGATTGAAATGTCCATCAACTGTTTAAAAGAAATGTATGTTTATGCAATATGACAGGAGGAACTGTGTTAAGAGAAGACAGATACCTTATAAAAATCTTGTTGGCAGCCTGTAAAAAGGTCACCATGAAGAGATAGTACAAGGCAGAACCACCAACATGAGATGAATGGTTGAAAGTTGTGTCAGTGTTTACACCTTTAGACGTTTAGACCTTTTTGTTCATTTTTTTACTTATTTTTGTTTGTTTGTTTTTTCTACCCTTTTATAACATCTTGTAAAACAATAAAAAATAAAGTATTAAAAAAAAAAGAAGTGGATGTAGCCACATCCACGTGGGTGACATCACCCATCAGTTTGTGGACTCCTGTTTTGAAGCTGTGAGTTTGTCATTTTGGCCATCGCCATCTTGGGTTTTTGGAGCCAGAGGTGACCATATTTGTACGAGAGGGTGGAGCTGTGAGGGAGCGAGGGGTGGATCTGACTGAGAACCCATGGACATGGCCATAGTAGCAACTTGTTTAATCACACGGTTGCCACGCCCTGAAGCACACCGTACTCTATTGTCTATTCTTCTAAAAATGGGCCCATCATTTTCAAAATGATTATCAGCTGGTGTTGCCTCCTGCTGACCATTAGAAAGAATGCATGGTTAAGACACTTAGCCTGGTAATACCCCTTTCTAATAAAGCGTGTAATATGTGGTTTGTCGGGCGGCACAGTGGTGTGGTGGTTAGCACTCTCGCCTCGCAGCAAGAGGGTTGCCGGTTCGATCCCGGGCGTGGGAGCCCTTCTGTGTGGAGTTTGCATGTTCTCCCTGTGTCAGCGTGGGTTCTCTCCGGGCACTCCGGCTTCCTCCCACAGTCCAAAGACATGCAGGTTAATTGGTGACTCTAAATTGTCCGTAGGTGTGAATGTGAGTGTGAATGGTTGTTTGTCTCTATGTGTCAGTCCTGTGATAGTCTGGTGACCTGTTCAGGGTGAACCCTGCCTCTCGCCCAGTGTCACCTGGGTTAGGCTCCAGCCTCCCCGCGACCCTCAAGAGGATGAAGCGGTTAGAAGATGAATGAATGAATGAATGTGGTTTGTCATACGTGAACCCACTCCTTGTATCTGTTATTAATCAGTCGACTGAACTGCTCACAGGTGTGACTGTAAGTGTGAATATTTGCCTGTCTAGTATAATGTGTCAGTCTTGTCATAGACGGGTCATAGACGCTGCCTCTCGCCCAGTATAGGCTGGGATAGGCTCCTGCTCCCAACAACCCTGCAAAGCATTAGTGTGCAAAGATGGTGGATGGATGCATGGAAAATCAGGTTTACCTCTTTCCAGATATAATGTTTGTCTCACTGAAACTGAATTGACCACTCAGTTGTTGAGATGACATCATTTAGTCCCTTTGCCATACCAAAATTCCCATTAATATGAGATATGAAATGAGGCATGAAGATTCTTGGTTAAAGGTCAGATTCTGCCCTCTTTATTGGAGCAAAGCTGTGATGTGTCTGACATTTTCCTTACAGAAACAATCTGGTCCAGGTAGCCTCTTCACAGATAGACCCGGGCTGTTCAGGGGAAAAACATAACTTCCAGATAGCCAGGGTTGAAGTTCATATGGCAAAAGAACAGTGGTCATCTGTAGCAGTAATAACAGGCTGATTGTATGCCATGGTTTCATTGTCAGGAAGGACAGGAAAGAAGAATAGCCTTGCTCTGCTTGGTTCACTCTGTTCTGCAAAAAGTTTCCGGGATAATGAATTCCTCTGGTTTGGTCAGCCAACAGTAGAAATGAGGAGAAAGGGGGAGGAGGACTAAAAGTATGAGAGAGAAGGTGTTTGTCCAGTCAGCACTTAGGGCGTTAACAAGCCCTCTGTATTGTGGATAATTGCAGATTACTGGCTAGATAAGTGGATTGACTAGAAATGAATGGGGGAAGTCCAGAAATGCAAAACAACAGATCCAAGTTTATGGTTTTGTCTTGTCGTTGACTGTAGAGGAAATCCAACTTCAGGAAGACAAACACATTTAAATACTAGAACAAACTCTGCTCAAGAGAATCCTGCATTGATTGAATTGACTATGAATTAAAAACCAGGCCCGTTGGCTACAGAACCCAGAGTTTGGTCCAACGGGCATCTATCTGTAACTCTTCACATTAACAACCTACACTGGAGCTGGCTGGATTTACACAGGCTCAGAGTTTATAATTTTTTAACTCCTCAGGATGTTCCACTTTAAAGCATGTGAACTTTGGCACCGGCTTAAATTGAGCACATGCTCAATGAGCCACACTGTTGCTGCATGCGTACAAACACAGATGCACACTTAACGCACACCTTAAAACACAGTAAGCACACACACACACACACACACACACACACACACACACACACCTATACACAGCACACTGCGCTTCCACATCGGAGTGAACTAGGTTGAGAAATTTGAAAGAAAACAAACAGGATTCCAGAGCGGTGCGGTGTGGCGTGAGGCTGCTGGTCTGAAACACAAAGAGAGGCCTGTTCGCAGCGTACAGGAGCATTCCAGCTAACAGAACAGGCTCTGGGACACTGTTGACCTAAGCTACTTTAGAATGTTTGTGCAATAGCTTTTGACCACTTGATTAAAAATGTCGTTTGATGCTGGAGCGGCCGTGTCCTAGCAAGGGGCAGTTCAGACTGGTCTGAGCAGAGCAACATGTTGCCGCATGAAGGGAGGGCTCTTATGAAGAGGTGAGTACTGAGCCACTTGCCTGGAACAGTGAGCCACAGTTGAACCATTGAGGATGACCATCCTTGCTGTCTGGCATTTGATTCTGTAATTATATGACATTTCCAATGAAAAACACATATAATTTTACTGCCAACATTGTCAGCTTAATGGACAAAAATAATGTAGATGAGCTGGAACATGTTTCATCTGTTCTCAGCAATGAAAGCAGCATGGCTCTAGGTATGGCATTAACTGCCTGTCAGGTGGTCTAGCATGAATGAACCAACTGAAATATCTTAGATGGCCACAAAAAAACGTCATAGTATAGTATGTCGATAAAGACATCATGAAAACGTCATAGTATAGTATGTTGATAAAAACTAGATAAAAACTTCATAGTATAGTGTGTCGATAAAAACATCATGAAAACGTCATAGTATAGCATGTCGATAAAAACCTGATAAAAACATCATAGTATAGCATGTTGATAAAAACATTATAAAAACGTCATAGTATAGCATGTCGATAAAAACTAGATAAAAATGTCATAGTATAGTATGTCGATAAAAACATCATGAAAACGTCATAGTATAGCATGTCGATAAAAACATTATAAAAACGTCATAGCATAGTATGTCAATAAAAACCTGATAAAAACGTCATAGTATAGTATGTCGATAAAAACCTGATAAAAACGTCATAGTATAGTATGTCGATAAAAACATCATGAAAATGTCATAGTATAGCATGTCGATAAAAACATTATAAAAACGTCATAGTATAGTACGTCAATAAAAACCTAATAAAAAAGTCATAGTATAGTATTTCGATAAAAACGTCATGAAAACGTCATAGTATAGCATGTCGATAAAAACCTGATAAAAACGTCAGAGTATAGTATGTCGATAAAAACCTGATAAAAACATCAGAGTATAGCATGTCAATAAAAACCTGATAAAAACGTCATAGTATAGTATGTCGATAAAAACGTCATGAAAACGTCAGAGTATAGTATGTCGATAAAAACCTGATAAAAACATCAGAGTATAGCATGTCGATAAAAACTAGATAAAAACGTCATAGTATAGTATGTCGATAAAAACCTGATAAAAACGTCATAGTATAGTATGTCGATAAAAACTAGATAAAAACGTCATAGTATAGCATGTCGATAAAAACCTGATAAAAACGTCATAGTATAGTATGTCGATAAAAACCTGATAAAAACGTCATAGTATAGTATGTCGATAAAAACTAGATAAAAACGTCATAGTATAGTATGTCGATAAAAACCTGATAAAAACGTCATAGTATAGTATGTCGATAAAAACTAGATAAAAACGTCATAGTATAGCATGTCGATAAAAACCTGATAAAAACGTCATAGTATAGTATGTCGATAAAAACTAGATAAAAACGTCATAGTATAGCATGTCGATAAAAACCTGATAAAAACGTCATAGTATAGTATGTCGATAAAAACTTGATAAAAACGTCATAGTATAGCATGTCGATAAAAACCTGATAAAAACGTCAGAGTATAGTATGTCGATAAAAACCTGATAAAAACATCAGAGTATAGCATGTCGATAAAAACCTGATAAAAACGTCATAGTATAGTATGTCGATAAAAACCTGATAAAAACATCAGAGTATAGCATGTCGATAAAAACCTGATAAAAACGTCATAGTATAGTATGTCGATAAAAACCTGATAAAAACGTCATAGTATAGTATGTCGATAAAAACTAGATAAAAACGTCATAGTATAGTATGTCGATAAAAACCTGATAAAAACGTCATAGTATAGTATGTCGATAAAAACTAGATAAAAACGTCATAGTATAGCATGTCGATAAAAACCTGATAAAAACGTCATAGTATAGTATGTCGATAAAAACTAGATAAAAACGTCATAGTATAGCATGTCGATAAAAACCTGATAAAAACGTCATAGTATAGTATGTCGATAAAAACTAGATAAAAACGTCATAGTATAGCATGTCGATAAAAACCTGATAAAAACGTCATAGTATAGTATGTCGATAAAAACTAGATAAAAACGTCATAGTATAGCATGTCGATAAAAACCTGATAAAAACGTCATAGTATAGTATGTCGATAAAAACTAGATAAAAACGTCATAGTATAGCATGTCGATAAAAACCTGATAAAAACGTCATAGTATAGTATGTCGATAAAAACTAGATAAAAACGTCATAGTATAGCATGTCGATAAAAACCTGATAAAAACGTCATAGTATAGTATGTCGATAAAAACTAGATAAAAACGTCATAGTATAGCATGTCGATAAAAACCTGATAAAAACGTCATAGTATAGTATGTCGATAAAAACTAGATAAAAACGTCATAGTATAGCATGTCGATAAAAACCTGATAAAAACGTCAGAGTATAGTATGTCGATAAAAACCTGATAAAAACATCAGAGTATAGCATGTCGATAAAAACCTGATAAAAACGTCAGAGTATAGTATGTCGATAAAAACCTGATAAAAACATCAGAGTATAGCATGTCGATAAAAACCTGATAAAAACGTCAGAGTATAGTATGTCGATAAAAACCTGATAAAAACATCAGAGTATAGCATGTCGATAAAAACCTGATAAAAACGTCATAGTATAGTATGTCGATAAAAACCTGATAAAAACATCAGAGTATAGCATGTCGATAAAAACCTGATAAAAACGTCATAGTATAGTATGTCGATAAAAACCTGATAAAAACATCAGAGTATAGCATGTCAATAAAAACCTGATAAAAACGTCATAGTATAGTATGTCGATAAAAACGTCATGAAAACGTCAGAGTATAGTATGTCGATAAAAACCTGATAAAAACATCAGAGTATAGCATGTCGATAAAAACTAGATAAAAACGTCATAGTATAGTATGTCGATAAAAACCTGATAAAAACGTCATAGTATAGCATGTCGATAAAAACTAGATAAAAATGTCATAGTATAGTATGTCGATAAAAACATCATGAAAACATCATAGCATATTATGTCGATAAAAACCTGATAAAAACGTCATAGTATAGCATGTCAATAAAAACTAGATAAAAACGTCATAGTTTAGTATGTCGATAAAAACATCATGAAAACGTCATAGTATAGTATGTCGATAAAAACATCATGAAAACGTCATAGTATAGCATGTCGATAAAAACATCATGAAAACGTCATAGTATAGTATACTTTTGTTGAAAAACAAAAGACAATAAACAGACAATCCCATATCACATACATATGTGCTAAGTTAAAAAACATGTCTATCAACAACTCCAACTGTTACTGAAAACATCAGGTATGACTACCTTTATTGTCTTTTGTTTTTCAAGATATTGTGTGAAGCATGTACCATCTTACATGCCACTCTAGGGTCTGTGTTGGTGACTGTTGATTGAACACAGCTGATCTGCAGACTCCACTGCAGCTGTTAAATCAGTGCATGCACTACTAGTCCTGTAACTCACACTGATGAAGGCCGGACGTCCGAAAGCGCTTTGTCCTTTAAAAATGCTTGAAAGGCCTCATTGAAATCTTTTTACCTGCTGACGGACATATCTGTGTGTGATCCTCAAACTGTTTTTGTTCTTGCCGGATATTTATTTGGACTACGCACCAGGAGGGTCAGAGCGCAGTGGTAATTTTTGAACGAAAATTTAAAAACGTAAAACAAACTAGGCATGCAAAAATACAAGAAACAGCAATAAATAATAATAATAATGAGCAGTGAATAAAAAGTGAGCAATGGATTGAAGTGATAGTATGTAGATAAAAACCTGATAAAAATGTCATAGTATAGTATGTCGATAAAAATGCCATGAAAAATGTCATAGCATAGAATGTTATTGAGATTGTTATAAAAATGCATCAAAGTCACCGAATGAATTTCAAATGTCATAAAAGTCATATAATTTGTCATTATCATCAAACTTGATATTGTCCATAAAATGTCTCATAGAATAAATAAAATGCATTCAGAGAAGTGTTTTTTGATTAGATTTCCAAAACCTTTTCACAAAATGCTGGATTGTTTCTACTAAATGTCTTTCATTACACAAACGGTCTAGTACCAATCAGTGCAGGACTTTGGCTAAGACAAGTTGGCTGAAGAGAAGATAGAAATGTTGCATCCCTGATTAGCCAACGAAAATGTAGCAGCTCAGGGAAGTGAATGCAGCCTGCTCTTCTCTCCTTCAGCTAACACCATCGTAATGTCCTTGAGGGCATTTCCTAATGTCCAAATTGCTGCCCAGTAGACCAACACTAGAAGACTGTGGTTGCACTGGGCAGCAGCCAGGTATGAATGTGTGTAACTTTGTACGTGTGAAGCAGGGTGTTGATGAAAGAGAGCATGTGTCCTTGGCAAATATTCCCAGGATAAATTAAGGCAAAAAGTGAAAAAGTCTAAACTGAGAGCTAAAAAGAAAGCGTTTGATGTGGTGGCAGATTTGTGCTTTGAAGGTCAGATTGAACCGGTCACAGAACAGAAACACGGGGACGGAGTCAGCTGAATGCCTGTTCACCTCTAGATGTGTATCTTTGCTTGAGACCAAGCTGCCTGAGCCCACAGAGAAGTGTAAAGAAAAATCAAAGTTTCACAAAAATGCATTAATTAATCCCTCTGCCAAAGCCATAACTGTAATAATGATCTCATTTTATGAAACCGTTTATGGTCTCTGCCATCTCTCTTTCCGTCTCATCTATCAAAGTTGTCTCATGTCATCAGTAAAGTTAATTTAATCTTATCTAATCTTTGTCTTCTACAGAATACTTTGCAAATGCTATCATTTAAATTTAGAGAATTTTGAGGAACTTGTACTTGAGTATATCCATGTTATGCTACTTTATACTTCTACTCCACTACACCTTAGGAGGAAATAAAATAAAACAAAGCAATATATAAGTACACATTAGTACAACAACAGTATAACAACACAATGCAAAATAAAAGCAGTGAACAAAGCAAGATGTAATACATAGACAGGCTATTTACATTATTGCATGTATCGTGTAGACACTTCACAGCTGGTATCAGATATTGCACATGAGTGATGACTGGTTGTCCATAGTTTTTGCATGTGTGGTCTACTGGGAGCAGCGTTGGTTGTAGACTCTGACAGCAGCAGGAAGGAAGGACCTGTGGTATCCTTCCTTCAAACTCCATGGGTGAAGCAGCCTGTCACTGAAGGAGCTTCACAGTGCTGTCAAAGTGTCCTGCATGGGGTGGGACATGTTGTCCATAAGAGATGACAGCTTGGCTATCACTCTCCTTTCTTCCATCACCTCAGCTGGGTTGAGGGAACATGCCAGGACAGAGCTGGCCTTCTTAGTCCGTCTGTTGAGTCTCGTCCTGACAGCTGTCGAGATGCTGCTGCCCCAGGAAACCACTCCTTAGAAGATGGCTGATGCCACCACAGAGTCAAAGAAGGTCCCCACGAGTGCCCCCTGTAAAGGACCTCTCTTGTATAGTGTATTAGTCCAGTCCAGGTTATTGTTCAGGAGAACACCCAGATACTTGTAAGATTTCACTAATAAATGAACCAATCGACTAACAAATGATGATGTATAATAATAGATTAAACTACCAAGCAGTATGTAAAGAATTTAACGAGCTCCACCTTCACCAGCTGCAGCATACACTCAATGGCTACTTTAGGTACACCTGTTCAACTCCTCCTTACTGCAAATAGCTCATCAGCCAATCACGTGGCAGCAGCTCATTAACATTTAGTCATGCAGACATGATGAAGACGAGCTGCTGAAGTTCAAACGGAGCATCAGAATGATGAAGAAAGGTGATTGAAGTGACTTTGAACGTGGCATGGTTGTTGATGCCAGACGGGCTGGTCTGAGTATTTACTGGGATTTTCAGCACAACCATCTCTAGGGTTTACAGAGGATGGTCCCAAAAAGAGCAAATATCCAGTGAGCCAAAATGCCTTGTTGATGCCAGAGGTCAGAGGAGAATGGCCAGACTGGTTCAAGATGATAGAAAGGCAACAGGAAGTCAAATAAGCACTGGTTCCAACCAAGGTGTGCAGAAGAGCATCTCTGAAGCAACAACACCTTGTCCAACCTTGAAGCAGATGGGCTACAGCAGCAGAAGACCACACCAGGAACCACTCCTGTCAAAGTCTCTGAGGAATGTTTCCACCACCTTGTTGAATCTGTGACACCAAGAATTAAGACAGTTCTGAAGGCAAAAGGGTTCTAACCTGGTACTAGCATGGTGTACATAATAAAGTGGCCAGTGACTGTATAAGTGATTGCTGGTGTGCGCTCTCACTTGCACACAATCACACAAAATGTGCTGCTTAACCATCACAGAGGACCCAAAAAGCTGGTGTTATATCTGTCTCATCATTATCGTCAGTTCTGTCTTTGCATTTCTTTTTTTCTCGGTCTCATCTAAACTGTATATTTCCTCCCATGTTGTCTCATCTTGTCTGGTCTCATCTGTCAGCTGCACCTTGACAGTTGAGGATGAATGCCAGACAGTGAAATGGAAACAAGCAGTCTGAGAATCCTCCCGGTGTGAAAACATGACGAACATCTCACAACACTGTGAGTAAACCCAGGGCCTCCCTCCTTCACTTTTCCCCTCTCGTGAGCTGTCGATCTACCTCCCTGCCTTCCTCGTCCTGTCTCTCACACATTTATCCTCCCCCTGTTTGTGACAGCAAGCTGTGTTTGCCCAGCAGCTTTCACCCGACCACCATCCCCGCCCCACCCATCAACCCCTCTTAACCTCTGACCCCGACTGCCCCACCTGCCTATTCAAACACACACACTCTTTACACCTCCTGTTGTGTTAGCTTTGTCCACCTCTGACGTCAAACTCCTTTCAATGCAGCCGATTAACAGGTATAATTCACTCAGGGCTGTAAAATAATGGCCGTGCATTCCTGTGTGTGTGCTGTTGTCCAGTAAATCAACCATGTCCAGATAAATAATTGAGAAATAACCTATTCAACAAATTGTGCAAACAAAGAGAGGTTTTTTGAGGGATTAATCATTAAACACAGTTTGCAGTGCTAACACTGTTATCAGTCTTTATTATATTGCTATCAACAAAGTGATGTTTGAATTGATATTTGATAACCTGAAAGCACTTCAGAGACATCTATGCTTGACTGTGCTGATATACTGTAAATACTCCACCACCTCTAAATAAAATTTTAAAGGTACACTATGCAGGATTGTGTATAGACTTGTACAAAAGTAATTCCTCTCAATCCACACTTATGACCCATTAGAAGTGGATGACGGTGTATTTATCTGCAGAGATTCTGCACTCTATATTTTCTGATTTTCTTCTTATTTTGCTGTGTTGGGGACATTTCTGGGCACCGTGTGCAGAAGAGATCAGGACTTCAAAAAAAGGTAGTAACCAGGTGCCAGACTAGCCTCGAAATCCAGACCCAAATCTAGAAAGATTTAGGGTCTGGCTATGAGTAATGCAAATGGCCCAACTCGAGGGGCGGCACCAAGCATGTATTTGAAAATATCACTGCACGCAATTGGATAACACTACAACCAATCAGAACAATACACGGGGTGACGTATCCAGAGCTTAGCTACCAGCGGAGCTAAGTGGTAGATTAGACTCTTGCCGTATCTGGTCGGCAAAACAGCAAAAACGTCCTTCTTGCAAAGGAAAGACTCGAGCGCCGTCTTCTGTTCCTCTTTTAGAGAAAAAGCCAAGTCTAACTCGTTCATTGTAGCGGCCAAAGCCGTTTCAAACAACTGGTGTTCATCCGTAGCCATCTTGCAATGTTTACTGAGTGATTCCAGACTTCGTCGTTGCAGCGCTGTCGCCATCTGTTTAGCTCGCCTCTGGCCCGCCTATATCAGATACACCGATGAGATTGGTGTAGCTCGGCTCCAACAGCATGGGTAATGAGCATCATTCCTGATTGCCAGAGTGACTCGCTGAGCAAATTCAAATTGTGCTCTTGCGAGAACTCTGGATTTCCAGGGTAGTGCCAGACCATAAGCAGCACGCATCTTAGGGGAAGCTACAAAAATCACAGACACAGCACCGAAAAATATAAATACAACAAGGCCGGACACCAAGCGGAGTGAACCTGGGGATTGTTTTTACTTTCACTCTCCCAATTCCTACATAATATACCTTTAAAGGTCCTGAGAACCTACTTTCTCAATCAACTTCTTACCATCAGTGATAGGATCCTATAAGCTCACTCAATTTTCTGCTAAAGATTTAACAGTTTGGTTTATTTTGTCAGAATTCTTTTGTGTTTTGTTTTCATCCTCACTTTAGAGCAAGTTGTCTACCGATCAGAAGGATGATGGTTCGATCCCTGGTCCCTGCAGAGTACAGAACAATGTGTCCTTGGGCAAAAATACTGAATCCCAAATAGCTCTCTATGACTGTGCTATCGGTGTGTAAGTTTAGCTTAGTTTATTTCCACCTACATACATAGAAAATACAGTTAAAACATTGTGCAGGAGAGGTTAGAGGCCAAACATGGCTTATGAAGATACCTCCTCTGTTAATTAACAACAATCTTACATAAAAAGAAAAAGATAAAAGTGAAGATTTCATAACTGAACAAGAATTCCAGACGAAGAAGTGATACAAAATTGTTAGAGATGTACAATGTAAAAAAAACAACAACCAAACAAACAAATTACAAATGAATCAATGAAGAGTCTTTGCAAATTAGAGACCATGTCATATGTTTTCTGAATAACGGTAATGTAGCTGATGACTGTAGAGATGGAAGTAGGTTGTTCCAAAGAGATGGTCCTTCGTGCGTTAATGTTTATCGGGTTACCAGGTGGAACCTTGTATGGTGGGCACCACAGCACCAGACTGCCCAAAACAAGTTAAGCAGGTTTGTGTTAAAGTCACCTCTGCATACCCTTCATTCCATTTTTACTTTCTGTCACTCTTGTCTGTTGTTTTTATTTATTTTAATTATGACTTTAATTGTGTTTTTAATGCTCTGTAAAGTGTCCTTGAGTGTTGAGAAAGGCGCTTTTAAATAAAATGTATTATTATTATTATTATTATCAACTTAATGTGCTTCTTGTCAATGAAAGAGTCATACAAATCCAGCTGGGACTTACACATAAAATGAAGTTAATTTCTTAACTTAGGTTTGGGAGCAGGACCACGCCTCAGCCACACCCCTGACTACCTGTCAAGCCTGCTTATACCTGGTCAACCCATCCTGCTCTGTTTGTCATAGATTTCTTGACCCGCCCTCCCTTTCCCTTCCCTTCATCCTCCCTGCGTCATCCCTACCAACATTCCTTAATCCTCTCTTCCCTTCTTTCATCATCTCTCCTTATTCAATCAGGTGCATACCTCTCCCATGTCTCATTCTAGGTACCATCTGGGGGCCTGCAATAAGCTCAAGTTGGAAAAATGCCTGAGACGCAACCCCCACACTGAGTCTCCCTCTGCCTGATCTCTGGTGCATCCTCCCAGATCAACCTATCAGAAGACATCCCTCTTCCACCACAACCCTCCAGTTACACCCATTCACCAGTCCTCAGCAACTAACACCTCCTGAATTACAATAAACATTTAAACGACATATTGTTGTGGCGCGGTCCTTACTGGTGAAACTGTTTATAATGAGGTCATTCAGCACAAACTTTTCATATACGGTTGCAACCAAACAGAGTGAACTACCAGTATCTCTGAGATTGACTGAAGCACAGAGAAATGTTAGGCCAGCTTTGAAGAGGTCATAATATTGACCTCGCAAATCTAATACGGTGTTGTCCTTTAATGTCTCTTTTCTTTCTGATTGTGATATGGATACTGTATTTGTGCTTCTCGGTCTTGGCATCTTGACCCCCCGAGAATCCCAGTGGAAAACGGCCTGCAGATTTTATGTGTTATTTAATCCTTGCCAGTTGTAGATGTACAGTCTGTGATAACTGTCTTAATTGCTTATATATCTATCTATGGTAGCCCAGCCACCAATGTATGAATGTCTGTGTGAGTGGGTGAATGAGGGCTTTGTTGTAAAGCGCTTTGAGTCGTCGCTAAGATTAGCAAAGTGTTATACAAATGCAAGCCATTCAACATTTTCTCTCTGGTGAGAAGTAGGCGAGGTTGAAAAACAGCGATGTCATGTATCTCCTTGCACAAATGAGGAGTTAGCAATGTATTAATAGCAGTGCAACAGTTGTGGGTATGTTTCTTCATACCCATCATTTCCGACATATCAGACTGGAGCCAACAAAGAAAGGACTCAAAAACACAAGGTCTTTTTACTGAGAAAAAAAAAAGGGTCGGTGCACAGATAATGAGTCTAAAAACACAAACAAAGGTATCAAAACCTGGTGAGATCCAAAGAGAACACTCGGGAAAAAGACAAGGACATACACTCAGACAACTGAGGATGAAGTGGCAACAGACAAAGGGCAGCACAAGGACTGAGTACACAAGGGAGGAGGGGTAATGAGGGACAGGTGAAGCCAATCAGGGCGGGGCAGGGAAACACACAGGGGCAGGAAGTAAAGTACCTGAAACGAGACACAAGGGTGAGTATCAAAATAAAACAGGAAATACTGACAAAAACTGAAAACAAGGAAAACATTACCTTAATGTGGACCTCAGGGTTTAACACAAAGTTTGAAAGTTGCTTATGAATATTTAATGTTGTTAATGCTTGTAATTCAGGTTATTTATTCTCTGCTTATTCTGTTACATTTTACAGCCTAATATCAGTCTGTGCTAGACTGCACGTAGCTATCATCATGGAAGAACAACTAATGTAGAAAATGATGTAGTTTCTGCTCCCTAATTACCTAAAATTATGCAGTTTGGATGGGAAGCCGCCTAGCTTACTCTGCTGGCATGTTTTTCCTGCATTGTGCGGCTCCTCAGAGCGTAACTGTGTTTCCACAGGAACCTCTAACCCAGAGCCAAATTCCTCCAGTCCCAACATGACAAACGCCCACAATTTATTACCCACCATTATAGAAACCAAGAATCAAATACCTACCAGTATACTTAACCAGACTCTAATTCCATGGTCCTTTCCATGGTGAAGCCCCAGAGTTTAAGCCTTACCTCTGCATAACAATAATAAGAGCTGAAGCTTGGCGAGGCCTCGCTACTTGTGTCCGTATGTGTGTCTCTGTTTGTGTGTATGTGTGTGTGGTCTGACCGGTGCCCACATCCTTCCAGAGCAACAACATGGCCACCTAGGAGACACACATCCATTCCTCAATTACCTCCCTGCCTTCCTCCATACCTACCTCCATCTTTCATTCTTCATTCCCACCAACAGTGAGGTGGCTGCAGAGTTATGACGTCTGTTGCGTTACACAAGGTCACCCTAGTTTGTCTTCCTGCATTTTTTCCCCTGGTTGCGCTCCCCTAAACAAACAGTTCCCTACACATATAGGAGATGATTTGAGGTGAGCAAACCAGGATGGTATTTAACTTGTTCACACAGGATGTAACAAAAAATATTTGAGGTGAAGGTTAGAGAGGCCTCTCTCCACTTCTCCGTTGTTGCACATGAATAAATCAATTTGTGCTGTAATCAGAGACGTCTGCAGGATGAGAAACTGGGAGTTCAGGGAAGCGTTAACACAAATCATCTTCCAATATCAGCTCGCACCTCACATACAACTCGAGGTTTTAAGGTCAGCATTTAAATCACAAGGAACAAGTTGGAGACTGTAAACAGAGTGTAGGGTAACAGAGACTGGACCTTTTTAAAATGCAAACGAGGGAGTTTTTCAAACTGGGACACACCCAGACTTATGAAAATACAGTGGTAGCCCTGTGATGCAGAGATGTGGAACACAGGCCCGTGAGACATTTACAGTGATATCTAGAGAAACTGTATGCTAGGAGAGAGGAACAAGATATACAGGTCGCCTAAAAGCGTGGCTGCTTTGAGTGACAGGTGGGCGCAGTCCGTGTAGAAGTCACTACCACTCATGAGCTCACGGTCGCGACATAAATTCGTGTATACAACATGCTTGATGTTCAAGTGGTGAGAGAAACTCTGCTAGGCACCAGTAACATTAATGCTACTGTCAGCGAATAAAAGCCAACAAGGCTAACAAAGCTAGAGAATAACGCAGGACATGCAAAGGCATAATGACAGAGGAAAAAGATGAGGCTGAATACCATAAATTTCCTTAGACATATTGGCCTACAAAATTACAAAGAACCAGCTCTATACCACTAAATTTACAATACAATTACGCACAATCAACGAAAAAAATGAACGTTCATGGCCTTCACCATTTCTAAAGAGGTTGGCAAATATATCACAACTCGTGAACTCTGAGCTTTCTGAAAATTTCACCTCATGAGGTCATGAATACCGCAAGAGGGGGGCATTCATATGGACTCTCCCTGTGAACACAGTTAACCAGCCCTTAGTGTATTTGTAAGTCTTTGGAAAAACCATATTGTTGTCGTTTGTGTACTGTGCGTTGTGTGTCATTGTAAACGCAGTTTTCACGCACTCTGAGCCCAAGACGAATTTCCTGTAGAGGACAATAAAGTTTATTTGATTGATTTGATTTGATGAAAGTTAATTGTAATGTTTTGGTCGCCTACAAAAGTCTTGTTCAGTGTTCGGTTGTACTAAAAGACCTTCTAAGGAGTCGGATGTTCTGTTTTAATGGTTTTAAGCTGGTTTTTCAGTAGCGAAAATTAGCATTAGCACAGTTAACCATAGCTGTAAATGCACCGTGCTAACCAAGCTAGCAGCTAGAGTTGGAGTGCTCCACCCTTTTGTCCAAATACAGACACTTCTGACTAAAAATCCAAGATGGCGACGGGCAAAATGCCAAACTGGAGGCTTCCAAACGGGACTCCACAAAGTCGTCACATGGCTACATTCATATCATTCCTATATATATATTCGGTAACACTAAAAAGATTCGTAGGTTCGAGGGGAACAGCAGTCAGTTGACAATGCTCTAAGGGTTCATTACTATGAGCGGCATTACATATAAAGTTTATAAAAATATTGATTAGTGCAGCTTTAAAGACACCTGATCACAACTGACACACGACTATGTATCACATGAGGCTGCAAAGACAAACGAGGTCCTATTCCCACAAGTTAAGACAACTGTCTTTTTTCCAAATGCAAAATGTGACACAGTGTATGGCCACTAACAAAAGGTTTACCGAGGCTAACGCAGACGTTTCAACTTTCTGTGACCTTAGTGACCTTTGGTATAAAAGGCCGTCACTATGGTTAATAAGAGGATACTGCATGCTGTTTACTGACATCACATCAAATGGATTCTGCTCACTGAAGTTGAGACATTTACCACTGGCTCCCACCAGCATCGACCAGCATCTTAAGGTTCCTGCTGCAGGCTTAAATATGAGAAGCTCAAAAACACAACCTCTGCGCTCACTTGATGCTAGTTATTTATTTGTTTTTCAGTGCAGAGGGAATAAACACTTCTGCACAGGTGTACTGAGGGTTTCTTCGGTGTGCGAGCTCGGAATTTTAACTTTGAAACAGCAGGTGAGTGCAGCAGTTTCCTCTCAGCGTGGAACATCCTGTCACATACCTGAGAGCCGCTTCCTCTTCAGAAAAACATCAATATTTACCAGAATACACAGAAGCCTCTAAATCTAAAAAACCCGCTGGCGTGTTTTTCTGTTCTAGTGCCAGTTGTTATCCCACCAGTGCCAGCTCTACCACATCTTTATTTATGACTCAAAATATTCCCTTTCAGAGAGAGCACACCTCGGGGAGGACATTTTGACGGCAAACTCACTGCATTCCTCCTGCTGGACCTGAGCTGGACTCCAAAGTAAAGTTTACATTCCTGCTGCTGGGAGGAATGCTGCCCTCTGGGGATCTGGAGCAGACCCGGGGATTACAAGTCAGGGATCTCGGATGGAGACTGGGATGCTCTGTTACAGGTGAGTTTTGAGGATGTCAACAAGAGGAGCTCATTTACACATTTCAGTGGTTTATCTTTGTGTGTCAGATCTGCAGACTTGAGCAGTGGCTGCTAAACATATGAAATGTATTAAATGAACATTGATGTAATCTCAATTTTAATTCTCAGAATTAATGATTCTCTGTTGAATGTAAAGTCTGATTTAACAGACACACAATCAAGACGTTAGCTCTTTAATATACTGACTCAGCTACCGTCATATTTCAAATCAGAACTCAAGCTTTGCATCCCTGAAATGATGTCGTGATTGTCCTGAACAAGAGCTGACATCCTGTGGGTATTGGCCAGCCCTAAAAATAGTGAGGGCATCTGCAGCCATAGATACAGCACCGTAGATGTGCTGTAAGTGAGACGGGAGGAGAGAGGACGAGAAATAAGAGTATAGGAGGAGAGGAGAGGATTTCAGCTAAAAAAATAATGTACTACTCTGTAGCTATTACTGCTCCATCTGATGATAATTATTATTAGCTGATCTGCGCCCCAGAGCAGACAGAGGTTCATTGTTTCTCTCAAGGACACTTCTGCATGATGGCTGCTGAAGGGCTTGAAACTGAGCAGCCGCTCTGAAGGACAGTCTGGACTTTGATCTGAGCTAATTAACATGGACTGGAC